TGGTGTTTCATTGGGTATCAATATTCATCCACGTGATCCAAATGGAGGTTATTTATTGGCTTTTGACTGCATGAATAATTAATGAGTTTGGGAAGTCCCGATAAAACCATCCCCACTTGTAAAATTTCGGCGATGACAGAAAATTTGTATAACTAATCGACTTTTCGCTAGTGCGGAAAGGCTCTTATTAAGATATTAATTGCATTTGTTTGTATTTGTTTGTTTTTATTTTCAGGGCTTGCTGAAAGGTAACCTCGTTCCCATGGCATTTTCCCTGACTTTGGGGTGAGGCCCCACCGGGAACGAGGTTGGCTTTGAGCTAAGTAAGATGTTAATTTTTTGTTTGTTTTTACACACAGCTGATCCTAGTGTACTTATGGTTCCCCCTGCAGCAGTCCTCCCTCCTCCTGTTTCTCCCGTGCGTACTACAGCAGGGAAAGCATTGCTTGAAAATCTCTACATTCCACTCCTCCCCTCTGGGGTGAAACCCGTAAACAGTTTCGTGTCTCTACAGACATCCCCGCCGTCTGAAATGCAAGAGGACCCAAAACTCGCAAATACGAAGTACGTGAGATATTTCACCTGAGACAATCTTTAAGAAAAGCTTCGGTTTTCTTTACCCCGCCCTATGATTCGTTAAGAATATTTGCACCATCGTCTTCTGAAACCGAGCAAATCAAATCTAAATCCATCGCCATTTGATCTCTCTCGTTTCCCGCATTCCCCTTGCTTCAGGCAGTTTCTTTGGCCGTCGTCATTTTTTCTTTTGAAGTGGGTGGGGGGGGGGGGTGGGGGTTACTGTTCCCGTTTTAATATTTTTTCTGTCTTACCGAACTGGTATTTTATACTTTCTGAAAATATTCCCAACGTACCTTCCATTTATTTTAGATCAAAGGACAAGCGCAGTCCTTTACTGAACGCGAACTTGCTGAAAGTTGTCAATCGTAGTGTTCCGTCGCCGGACGGAAGGAAGAAGAAAGATGCTTTAGCTGATGTGGTGGAAAAAGTAGAAGGGAAAAGGAAGAAAGAAAAGAAAGAAGAAAAAGATGACAAGTTTTGTAAACCGGGTCAGTTAATCACTCAGTACCTTGAGCGTAAAGCTAGCCAAGTCTTTGGTTCTACAGAGCTTTTTTCAATAAGTGCTAAAAAAAATAGCCTTCTGAAAGTGATTATAACGAAACACACCGGCCAATAATGAGAACGGAAAATATGACAAAGAACCAATCAAAACTCGGAGGACCTTAAGCGAGGGAAATACGAGAGACTAAGTCGGGGTAACCCCTTTCCCAGAGTATTTTTCGAGGGAGGAAAAGAGAGGACCCTGGTAACGAGTTTGAAGTCGCATGTTAATTTTGCATCTGATTTGTTGAGATGGTAGCACGAGGTTTTTTTTAACCAATCGCAGGGCTTAGTGAAGCACAACTAAACCAATATTCGTTGCTGATGTTTCCATGAAATGTCTGTAGTTGGGCTCGAGGTTCCTGAAAGGTAAACACTATTTTCCTTTTTGCTTTTGATAGGGGACTATGTTATAATCGTTGAGGACGTAACATCGCCACCATTCCTCGGCGTCACCTTGACACCCGCGTTTCTTCACGTCAAAGTGACCCAGAAGAAAAGAGCCCAAAGTAAAAAGGAATCAAGGAGAAACTAAAACGAAAAGTTTGGAATTTTATTTTGTAGGAAGGTTTTAACTTATTGAATTTTAAACCTGCCATCCTTACGATTGTGTGGATCACAGAAAGTGGATCTGAAAATTTTGAGAACGGTGTGGGGCGAGGGTGAAAAAAAAAAAAAGTTGGGATGGGAACTCTTTTTGGAGGGGTTGGAAAGGGCTCCCTCCCCCTCCTCGTGCCTTTGATTCCCACACCCCCCCACCCCCCTTTGTATATCGAACAGTTCATTTACAACTGAAATCGTTTATCTTGCTACTCATCGTTTCGGGCAAGACGGTCTCAAAAATTTTTTCTTACGGAATAATTGAAAATGGCTCTTTGGAAGCTGCCTACAAAGATTCCAGAGTGCGTCAGTAGTTTTTCCTGAACAGTCATTATGTCTACTTGGATTATTATACTCCAAGCAGATCGTCGTTAACTCTTCAGCCTGAGTATCAAAAACCGGAGAAACGTTCCCAGGCCACACCACAGTACAGTCTGGTGTTAACAGTGCGCATATTTTTCATTCTGTTCTCCTTAAACCTCCTATGGTACTGACATTGAGAATTTGTTTAACAATCAAGAGCTTCTTTAGTTGGTGATCATTTCCTTTATTCTCTTGACCTTAATGTGTGATTTTGGGGTGATATTGTAAGGAGAAATGAAATGCTGGTCACTCTTTAAGGGTCAAGGGGTTCAGTTTTACAGGAGACTTGTTATTCCCAATTTTGCGACATCAAGATGTCGTCCAGTTTCACATCCCTTTCAAAAGTTTTATTTTTTTGTACATTAGCATCTTTACATCATTCTATCAGTTGTCAAACCTTGTACAGGCACTTTAACATACATAAGTACTTGAACTTAAGTTAAACTGTACATTTAATTTAATAAAAAAAAAATAATAAAACATGAGGCATCGAAAACTTCTAAATAAATATTTTAATATTTTTGTCCTTCAAATGGACATTATTTCGGTAAACTGTTAATTTTTCATCAAGGAATTGTGATTTCCACAAAACTGACTCCTACACCATTTCTGACATCGTCTAGGCATCTCGAGTTGTCAAGAAAGATACCCTTTGTCTGCTTTAAGACGTGCTCCAAACGTGGGTTATGTGCAAGGTGATCAGTTTTGGCCGGCCACGCGCAACAAAACGGTCAAACGTCGAGCATGCTCGAGTTGATCAATTTTGGACCAGTGTTCCGCGCAAAATTTCCAAAGATAACATTAGGAAACAACCACTGTCTCGTAATATAAGCGAGAGGTAAGTGAAACGTTCATAGCAATCTGTAAAAGGAAGCAAACGTAAGGAAATCGAACTCAAAGCCTAATCAAGAACGGTTGTCCCGTCGATTTACCACTCTGCATTAAGCTTTAACGAAAAAGTTATATGCTCCTTAAAACACCGTGACCTACTGGCTTGTGTGTGTGAAACTGATGGAAAAAACTTGACACCTAGTCATTGCAACGTTCGCAAAAACGTAGACGTTTGACCGCTTTGTTACTACGCGCCAATTTCCCGCGCAAAATATCCAAAAAAAAAAAAAAACTTTAAAAACAACCGCTCCGCTCCGTTTCCTTGTCGCAATGACCTGTCTTGCGGCTAGGTCCTGTTCCATATGAAGCGTTGTAAATCCTCGTGCGAACAACAAAAGCACCTGTTCAGCAGGGTAGGCGCAAATATTCATAAAAACTCCTCTACCAGCAACTATGGAAACAACTAGTTGGTAAACTTCGGCCATTCCACGATTCGTTTTCTGTCCGTCATTCCATCGCAAAACCTCTCTAACCAATGTACTAACTGTGTTCGAATCGACAAACTCAGAACTTTTTGTCGTTTTCTCTCGTATTCCGTCATTCCATCTTCGTTAGGATCCGTATCGCTATCAGTGTCATCAAATCCCATTAGGTTTCCCCCTTGCCTCTTGAAGAAGGCTCCCTCGGAAAGGTCAGACGGTTTAAAGACAGACAAGTATTTCTTGTAGCCGTTTAAGGCGAGAACAATTCCAGGAGTCACTTCACCAAACTTGTCCACATCCAGAATCTCGGCACACCACGCCAGGTTGTCAGGAATTGAAAGCCAGGTGAATTTAAAATTGGGGTTTCTAGCAGAAATGAAACAAAACAAGAATAGTTTAACTTCTGAACTCAAAACTAAAAACAAGGAAACTTCCTCAAACGCGGGAAAACGCGGGCGACCCAGTCGTAATTAGTTTCAGTCTTGAATCTAATTGGTGAAGAGAGTGCCGCGAGTTTTCTTGACCAATCACAATAAAGGGAAACATCACAAGCAGCCAATGAGAACTCAAACAAAAGACCAGCACAGTTCCTCAAGCGCGGGCACTCCTGGGACCGGAGGAAATTTCAGTTACACACAGGGTAATATGATCGTCGCTTTTAATTCATTTAAACATGGAATGTTCAAGATTCTCTGTCTATTGTTGCCCATTGTTGTCATTCATTCAACCCACCAACGGCGGCACGATTTTCGACTTTTTAACAAATGGTAAACACCACAGCGTACACTATTGAGTTATGGATGCACGCGGGAGGTTGCGAAGCGAAAGAGTCGCTTGAGGCGATAGCCGAGAGCGACTCTAGCTTCTTGAGTGCTTAGCAAACCTCCCAAGTGCATCCATAACTCAATAGTGTACGCTGTGGTGTTTACCATTTGTTTTATAACATAACATTAACACATTGTAGCTAAAGAGTTCCCTTTTATTTAACAAATCTTACGTGACCAGAAAAAAACAAGCGCGCGCGGAAAAATAGTCTTTGCATTTGCTCACGTCAGCAGCGTACACCCATGGGCAAATGGAGGACGCTAAATTGACCAATCAGAGCGCGCGCTTTACTTTGGTTATGTTATAAATCTAGTTGCTATATACATACCTGCTGTAAGGATAAACCAAATCGGCATACGCTTGAATGAGAGGCAGCTTTACCACCTCCTGTGTAGTGGTGGCATCAACCAGCAGAGTAAACGTGATTTGGCCCCGAGGGGCATCTCTGATCAGGGTCTTTTCGGTGCTGTGGTCCAAACGAAGGAGGCCCAGGACAGACTCGCTTTCTAGGGGCCTCTGATTCTTCTTAGAGGATGCTTTGTACACCCGATCTATAGGCTCACTATGAAAATTGTAAAAACTTGAATTAAAATGTGTAAAAACTTGGATTCAAATTTACCTTTGGTATAACTTCTAGTGTAAGCCAACTTTAAGCAAGCGAGCGCTCAGCATTGATTCGTTAAAATTTTAGCCGGCATATTGGATTTTCAAAGCAGAGGAAGGTTGGAAGAGAAAGAAAGTTCTACCAGGGTAGTCGAGCGATGGGCAAAATCTTGACAGCAGGGAGCCGGAGGGGTAGGATAAATCCTCGCTTTTGCCCTTCCCCTCCCCTCATAGTCGGCTCTAACCGTACATCAAACATGGCGGCTCGGTGAACGATAGCAAACTTGCAACGCTCGCTCGTCCTCCTTAAGAAGACGCCTGAGAGGAGAGAGGAGAGAGGCGAGAGCAGCAAGAATAAAGATCAATTAATCGTTACTCACTTCGCACTCGGAAGTAAAACACTGAAAACCAGAATGACTCCCACTCCACACAACAAGGAAAACAAAGAAATGGTTTCTCTCCTGAAAGAAAATGGAACGAACTAAATGAATATGATACAAAAATAAAAATCAAACGACCTCCCTGGAATATCACAAAACAATGAAGTAACAAATACCCCGGACGAGATTTGAATACAACATTAAAAGTTCTTTACCATGCATATCGAAAATCTACCTTGAATATTCTTTAACAAAGACACTGGAAGTTTGACCACAGTGCAAGATCGCCTTCAAACATATTTGCGAGTTCGCACCCTCCCCCCCCCCTCGCGACAAACCAAGTTCGCCCCCAAAATCTTTCTACTCGGTTTACAAAAGTAAAGGAACTTCCATAAACGTCTGCGCACGATTTCAGACCAAATTGCACTCCAACCAGTTCAATTACCATCATGTACTATTGTAAGTATTCTTGGTAACGCCGTGTAAAGCAGCGCAAAAAGAGGAAATACTGATAAAAACTTACCGATACAAAGACGATTTTACGTAGTAATAGGCATCTGAACACCAGCTGAACAACATGGAAAGGAGTCCCTTGGAAATAAAAAAAAAGAAAAGAAAATGAAGATGCTCCTTCATTCATGAATCAAAACGAAGCCAGAACACTTTTTTTTCTTTCTTTCTTGCGCAAGAATACAATTTTCATTCCCCCCCCCTCTTTATCATTAACGCTATCTTTTCAATGCATTTCAATCGACCACTACATCTTTCTCAATCCAGAAAAACCAAAGAACACTAAAAACAACAACAAAAAATACTTATATCTAGCAATCTTGACCTATGAACTTTGTCACTGTCATAATATATGTTACCTATTGTGCTGCAAGTTCCCTTTAGCTTTAAGGCAACGCGCATTTTGGGTGCGGGGGGTGGGGACGTTGTAGGAAGAAGAGTGGGGGATCTGGGGTTAAATCATCATATTCTGTTCTGATATTCCAAAGCTGCGATGGATTAACAAGCTTATGGCATCTTAGTTATCACACGTTTTTGTTTATTAAAATAATATTGCTAGCTTTGACCATCTTCTGCTTCCGGCTAACCATACATACGCAACCCGACGTCATCATCCTGCAAACATCCGCCCTTTATTTACTCATACTCAGCGGTATTTTACAAACTCTTTNAACTTAATGAAATCATCTGAAGGCAAATCATATATATTCGATGAAGTGATGTAAATTCTTCGTTCTGAAACTCTACGTAGCTCAAACGAATATAGAATGTTAGTAAAAAGACTGCCTCTGCCTTGAGTACGATCTGTCCTCGGGAGAAAATGAAATCTGAATTTAACACATTTCTTTTTCCAGGCACTCAGCTGGCGGAAACTTGGTCATCTTAGACTAATAGTCACCCCATTTATGATGCACAAAACTTCACACGGATTGACCCTGAATATCTACAATCTCGATTTGTATCTCGAAGGGATATTACCTCGTACCGACTGAGGAATTCTGAGAATAAATTGGCTGTTCCACAACCCCACAGCAACGATTCGAAGAGAGGTTTTTGCCTATACAGACAAGGCTCAACACTAAGGGTAGCCCACTAGCCACAGACTAGTAGAAATTCAGTTTTGGCTAGTGGTTTTCAATTTCCACTGGCCAGTTTGGCTCGTCAACAGACTGAAATTGTCGTAACATCTAAGAACATCTAAGAACATCTAAAATGTCAATAGCCACTTGGCTAGTAAGTTGAAAAGTTAATGTCGAGCCCTGTGCAGGTGCTATGTTATGAAACAACCTTTTCCATGAACTCCGGTCAACAGTCTATTCAAGTGAATTTAAACGTAGACTGCGTCATTATAGCTTTTAATGAAACATGGCATCGTAGAAAAGCAGCGTTAAAGATATGATGGGTTTTATTTCTATGATACTGTATTAATTATTAGTTTGTTCAGTTGGATATTTTATTCTCTCAGGTTGTGGTGAGGCATTTTACCGTGTTGGGGGTGGGGAGGATGGAGGAAGTTTTAAAGGGAGAGGGGGTCAGGATTATTGCAAAATCTGAGATATACACATCGACGTTAAGCAATAATAGTCCAAGTGTACACACTGCTACACGTTCTGTCTTTAGGAGAAAATAAAATTTGAATTTAACACACTTCTTTAACTAATTACCTTTTATGTGTCAATAGAGGATATTCCTTAGCTGCGATAGATTAACAAGCTTATGGCATCTCAGTTATCACACGTTTTTTGTTTATTAAAATAATAAACAAAATATATGACAACGAAGATAACATAATGAAATCATCTGAAGGCGAATCGTACTTATTCGATTAAGCGATTAAGATTTTTTTGTACTGAAACTCTATCTAGCCCAAATAACTACAGAGTGTTTGTAAAAAGATCTTGGATGCAATTAAAAGAATAACTAAGGCAATGTTCTTATTGATATGTATAACAGCATAGCCTAGCCACATTTTGATCATTGCTGCGCTGTTTGAGGCAACTGTGGTATCGACCTATGTGCATACATAAATACATACCTACATACGTTAGCTGACCTCTCCCCACGGGGGCTTTTCTGGGCCAATTCCCACCCATCGCACCCCAAGGGAAGACATTCACAACACAGTAATCTCGTGTGTGGGAAATTAACGTCTCCTACCCCTAACCCTGCAGGAGACGGGGCCTACGGTTTATTCATCCTTATCCGAGAAGACTAGAATATCCATCCATTTCTTGCTACCTTTATAGAAAGGTAGTAATTTCTCCTCACTTATTTTAAGACCATGAGTATCAGTCCAGCTGAGGCTCGAACCCTCGACCTCCCGTACAACACAATCCAGTGCTCTAACCAATTGAGCTAACCGGGAGGTGGTAATCACAAAGAGTAGGGAACATATATAGCTCCCGGTGTTGTGGTCTGGCCTTTTCACTGAAATTGGGGTAGGGGATAGGGAAAGGTAATTTACCTATTTGGGGATAATCTTGTCCTATTGTAAATTTACCTGCCTTTGGAAAATTGTT